AAAAACAGACAAAAAGTCTAGCTCCTCGGAGAAACATTTTATGGTGAAGTTTTTTTTGTTTGTTTGTTTGTTTTTGAGACAACATTTTATGGTGAAGTTTTTTTTGTTTGTTTGTTTGTTTGTTTTTGAGACAGAGTCTCACTTTGTTGTCCAGGCTAGAGTGAGTGCCGTGGCGTCAGCCTAGCTCACAGCAACCTCAAACTCCTGGGCTCAAGCGATCCTACTGCCTCAGCCTCCCAAGTAGCTGGGACTACAGGCATGTGCCACCATGCCCAGCTAATTTTTTACATATATATATCAGTTGGCCAATTAATTTCTTTCTATTTATAGTAGAGGTCTTGCTCTTGCTCAGGCTGCTTTCGAACTCCTGACCTCAAGCAATCCGCCCGCCTCGGCCTCCCAGAGAGCTAGGATTACAGACGTGAGCCACCGCGCCCAGCCCTATGGTGAAGTTTTAAATCTCAGAGTTTTTGATCCTGGCTGCACCTCAGAATCACTTGCACAAACTTTTAAAAATATGGATGCCCAGGACCCAAGGGTTCAATCTAGACTTAAAGAATCAGAAAGAACTGCTAGGAAAGGGCCCCCACATCCCCATTTTTAAAAAGGTCCTCAAAAGATCCTAAAGCACAGCAAGAGCTGAGAACAACTGCCAAGAACTGCTGTCAAGACACATTCCAAAATGGATAAGACCATTAGTTAAATGGCTCAAATCCAGAACTCAGGATCCCAGAGTTAACAAAGAGACTTAAAAACTTAATCCAGTTTCGCCGGTTGTTCCACATTTCCCTAACAGAAAGGTCTCTACCAAGTAACAGCAGGCCTATCTCAGTCAGCCCCTTCCTCCTTTACCAACTAACGGCCGTAAATTTTTCACAGTTACATTATTTGGCATCATCAACATTTCTAACTCTAGTTCTGACAGATGGCACAGCCTAGAGATCAGAATACCAGCCAGGAAGTTTCTGCTGCTGATTCATGCTGTAATCACAAGCAAGTTGCTTACCCATCGTCCAGAGTGGTTAACAAGCATCTCTGGAGGGGCAACATATGGCCTTACTACTGACAACAGACTGAATCCAGCTGAAATCAGCAATTCTGAATGAAAGGGAGAATAGAGGTGGTATCAAGAATGATGCATATGCCAGTAAGTTACCTGCCGGCCAAGTGAATTTATTATACAAAGTGTAATTATAAATACTGCCTAGGACTTCATAAAAATTTACATGGACAAATCACTAACGCGTCTAAGCCTGTTTTCTTGTCTGTAAAACAGGGCTCATATTCTATCATCCTTCCTCACAGATCATGAGGATTAAGAAAGCTATATAAAATGCCTACCACAGCGGCTGGCACACCATTGCTATGATTTGAAAGCCTTTTATTAAAAAATCCAAATCATTCTTGTCAAGAGCACCCACTAGACTTCCAAAAAAGTCACATAGACCAAGGACTCCAAAATTCTTTTAACTTTTCGAAGTGCTTTTACTGAAGGCTCCAAATCACTTCAATTTTCAAAGCCACTAAAACCTCCAGGTCCATTTACATGGACAGTCATTCTTCAAGGCAGATTATCATTAGTAACCTGGCTTCTGGTACCGGAATAACAGGAAGTGTCAGGACAGTGCTTGATACCACCAACCTCAAAATAACTGCTTCATAATACCTGACCTTCCCTTAACCTCCATGGCCAGTACCATCCGCCCAGGAGGATGGGGCAAGAGCCTGGCTCCTGGCCAAGGTCCATCGTTTGCCCATAACAAACCAGCCTTCTTTCTTGGGTCTTTTTACTTTCTTTGCTCTTTCTAAATAAATGGCTTTCCCCACTTCCTAACCCACCTCTCCCCCCTGGGATGTATTCATGGCATATTCACCTTTGAACTTTCTGAGAACTGCATCTTACCCCAGCTGGAATGAAGCTGTGGAATACAACCAAGAAAAAGAATGTAAATGCCTGAAGCAATTAGCCAAGGCACAGAAACTGTGGTATGCTACTCTGGCCAGAAAGATCAAGAAAAGCCCAGTAGCCAAATTCACCTATTTCCAGTGTAAGAATGAAAGGCAAACTTAAGGCAGCCACAGGAACAAAGTCTCAAGTGTATAAATTATGCAGCTAGGAACAAATACCCATTTATGACACTGTTTAGAGAATAGAAACCAGAGGTGTTTTTTCTGACATGAGGTAGCAAATGGAGAAAAAAGGACTTAAATATTGAAAAACTTTTTTCCTAGACAAAAGATAAACTATGTCTTTTCACCTCACCCTTCCTCTGAAATTCAAGCGGTCCTTTCAACAATTTCCAGCAGAATCAAGTACAAGTGTTGAGTCAGCTTTTGAAATACTGCAGAAACCTCTTTATAGAAATATGCAGAACCTGAATCTACCCTTTTGTTACAGTAACCATCTATCTCATCTTGAAGTCACTGTATCAAAGTTCCTGAACATCTGTCCTAGCAGCACTGGTCTTAGCTGTAACCTTAGAGTAGTAAACACCACATTTCAGTTCAACTTTAAAAATTAGCCAATAACCAGAGTTTCCTAATCTTTTCATTCCCACCTACTCTGCCTTTTAATTTGTTCCTAAATGCAAGTAGTTCCTAAATGCAAGCAGTGCATTAGAGTTGACAAAGATGTAAGTATCTAGCTATAAGCCCCTCCTTCCTTGCTAAGGCAGTATACTTACTTAGCAGAAGCCAGACAAGTGGGCACTGGGAAGGGCAAACATGGTCAAGCTTTTTAACAAACATATTAAACAAAAAATAATGCTACCTGAGGGCACACTTGTGTATTCATAAAACCTAACAAAAGATCTTTTACATAAGTTCTTATTTCCTACCTTAGAAGTTTTCAATTACAAAAGTAAACAAGTGTTTCAAGCATTCAGAATGAACCCAACAATTAAAATTTACTCTATGCCAGTCTGTCTGGTATGTTAACAATGACAAATATTTGCTTTGGTCAAACTACAACAGAATTCTGTATCATCCAATTGGGTACTCAGAATTACTTCTATTAATCAACATCTATTAATCAATCTATCAATCATATTCAAAGTCAAAGACATAGGAGTAAAATGCCTTAAATACTTCGGATATTTGTTTTGTTTGGGTTGTCACAAGCTTTCACCTACTGCTAAGGAATAAACTTAAGGCATTTATTGCAGCTAACTCATGAGTTATATTAGTGGCTTAAAGAGGAGCCCCAGAAAAATTGGAGTTGGAGAATCAAATGCTGTACATCTGGGAATAGAGTACAAGCAAAAGTAAACTTACTCATCAACTGAGAATTATTCAGACTGCTCTAAACTAGTTCCAATACTGGCCAACAGGACTGGTTATCTTATCTTTAGAGGGATCTATGAGAAAGCTACACATATGGAAAACCCCAAAATTAGTCTACATACTACTTCTGACATAGTCTCAGAGCCCACACTACAACTGGTCTCCACCCGAGTTCCATAAGTAATCTCCCTAAGTCCTCAGCATACCAAGTAAGCAAGTCTGTCTTATCCACCAGATAAACTCTGAACAAGTCAGTAAGCCTTACAGCTGTTTTTGTTTCGTTTAAGTCAGCCTTACAATTGTTTAATCTTGAAAAGTTTTAAAAACTGGACCTCCACATTTAGGGACTCCAAATATTTCCCTCTCTGCCATGCTCCCCTACTTTCACTGAAAACACCTTCCCATTACTGCTAACATAATTGAAATGCAAAAAGAGCAGAGATTTATATGCAGACTTAAGAACTCTGGACTCTAGACTCCACCAACACCTAACATCCTACCTTCTCAACTGTTCCTCTGTACACATGAACAATTCCACCTCGATAGACAGGTGGTAGATAGACTGGAATAGTGGTAACAGAAAGAAAAGCTCCACCCAGTACTTGGAGCGTAGTAAGGACTCAACTAATGGTAGCTATCACCATTATGTTCATAATTTGATATTAAGAGACATGATTACAGAAAATGACATAATCTTCCCTGTTGAAGGACAATAGTGTAGCTTAACACACAAAAATAGGCACTATGTGGTTTAAGCACATAATAAATGTCAAGTACTTAGTTCTTAGGCTGGAGTGCAGTGCTGTCATTGTGGCTCACTGCAACTCCACACTCCTAGGCTCAAGTGATCCTCCCACCTCAGTCTCCCCAGTAGCTGGGACTACAGGCACATAACTCCATTCCCGGCTATTTTTTCTACTTTTTGTAGAGATAGGATCTCGCTCTTGCTCAGGCTGGTCTCGATCTCCTGAGCTCAAGCAATCCTTCTGCCTTGGCCTCCCAGAGCGCTAGGGTTACAGGTGTGAGGCACCCCGCCCGGACCCATTTCTTTTTATTAAGTTTATTTAATTCTATTACCTCCACCTTTACAGGTAAAGAAACTCTGGACACTCACTCAAGGTCTGACAAACTGTGGGGCCCAAAAAGACTGACTCCATTGCTTAAATTCTTAGCCACTACACCACACTGAACAAAGTCATTCAAGGATGAGTCCTCTTCAACAGTGGAACTGATCTGGGGCCCGGTTATTAAATCTGAGATTTGAGTTTGAAAAGTCCCTGGGCCCCACCCCCAATGTTTACACCTGAACACTATCCAGTGCTAATTCAACATTAAAGGGCAAAACAACTTAGTGGTTTTAGGAGCGTGGACTGATGAGTCAGACAAACTAGGTGAGCAGACAAACCTGCTGTGAGGCACATACTAGCTGGGTGACCTTACCCTTTCTGAACCTAACTTTCCTCACCTGCAAAATGGGGATGTGAACAGCATTTATTTCTCGGAGCTGTTTTTAATATTAATATACATGACCCGCGTAAACCACGCATTACAGTGCTCATTAACTTAATTGTAAATAATAAGAGCCATGGAAAAGGAGGTAGGAACTATAGTAGAAAGCGTAGCTTGTCCTTGGGTAACCCAGCAGACTACAGAGCAAGGACACTCCCTAGCCGAAGGGGCAGTCGCCCCCAGCCCACTGCCGCGGGCCCGCCCCTTACCGCTCTTGGGTTTAGACTCGCCGGCGGGGCCCGCCGAGGCGGAGCGGGGCGGCTGTTGCCCTTTGCTGCTGCCCGAAGAGGCGGAGGAGCTGCTGGAGCCGCTGTTCTTGTCCATTTCGGAGGCGGTGGCGGCGGCGCTGGGGGAGCTCTGCGGCATCAACGGGGGCCTCAGCGGCGACGGCGGTCGGAGCGGAGCGGGCGCGGCGGGGACCCAGGCTCATGGCGTTCGGGGCCTGCGGGGGTCGGCGGCGGCAGCGGTTCTCGGCCTTCATGGCGACATTTTTCCTTGTTTCCTTCCTTGGCTTCTCAAACTGGGAGGAGAAGCGGCAGGCGGGGCTGTCGAGCCCGGCGGCGGCGGTGACTGAGAAGGAGGAGGAGGCCGGAGCTCGGGAGTCCGGGCCGGGCCTGGCGGGGCGGAGGCTGCGGGGGAAGGGGAAGCGAGGGAGGGTGCGCAAGCCCCGCCGGCCGGCCGGACACGCTCTCCCGCCGCGGGGCAAGGGAGAGGGCTGGCTGTCTTGGTGTCGGGGACAGGTGTCTCCGACACAGCGACCGACACTCGCCTCTGGGCCGAGGCCGAGCTGCTCCGGGAATGGCGACGAGTCGCCAAACAGCATCTCGAAGAACCCGGATGGAGTTATATATAGTAGGGAGACGGGAGTGAGGCACTCTGGGAAATGTAGTTTTTGTTTACATCCGGGTCTACTGGGTTTTATTCTCCACTGTCTTCCCTCAGACTCTGTTCCCCCCTCGCCCGTAAGGGCACTCGAGATAATGGGACTTGTAGTTCTCGCCAAGGCCAGGTTTTTGACTTAGTACACTTAAATATAATTTAGCCAAGCATTGAAATACCTGTGGAACTCCTTTATAGATTTGTTGTTTGATTTGTGGTTCTTATTCTAACATTAATATTTACTGATTTATGGCCGTTATTCTATCTCATGTTAGCAATAATAATAGCGTTAATAATGACAATGCCTTACATTTAATATCACTTACTCATACTTCATTTCTTTATTTTATTTATTTATTTAATTTTAGAAAATGGGTTGTTGCCCAAAAGTGCAATGTCTATTCACAGGCTGGCTCATGATGTACTACAGGCTTGAACTCTTGGGCTGAAGCAATCCTCCCACCTCATCCTCCGGCGTAGCTGGGACTACATGCATCTGCCACATCGCCTGCCTCACATTATTTCATTTCGTTGTTAAATGATTTACATAAATTGTTTCATTGCAAATAGTAGTTACCATTGAGTGCAGTGCTGTGTCAAAAAACAAAAATTACAACAAATTTACTATAAAGATCTTCATTGGCTTTTACTTTTTGTTTGTTTGTTTTAAGACAGAGTCTGGCTCTGCTGCCCAGGCTAGAGTGCAGAGGAATCAGCCTAGTTCACAGTAACCTCAAACTCCTGGGCGCAGGCGATCCTCCTGCCTCAGCCTCCCAAGTAGCTGGGACTACAGGCATGCACCACCATGCCTAGCTAATTTTTTCTATATATTTTTAGTTGGCCAATTAATTTCTTTCTATTTTTAGTAGAGACGGGTTCTCACTCTTGCTCAAGCTGATCTAGAACTCCTGACCTCTAGGGATCCTCCTGCCTCGTTCGCCCAGAGTGCTAGGATTACAGGCGTGAGCCACGGCGCCTGGCCAGCTTTTACTTTTTAATGGTATTGAGTGTTCTGATGAGCTGAGCAGAGAAACTTGGTTTTATAGACAGAAAAGAGCTTATGAAAGCAAAAAAAAAAAAAGTAGTCTTTCAAGTTACTTTTCTCGTAAAGGTTGAACAGAAGGGACATCTTATCATGTTGGCCAAAACTGGCCTGTTTGGGGATTTTGCTATCATATCTCTCCCAATTTCTCTGAAGTTTGGATAAACAACTTAGTTTCAGCTTGGTTGGGTGGAATGTAACCATGAGTAACTCCATCTTGCTTTGGTTTCTTGGGCCCTAGCGCAGGAGCTTAGTTCAAACCAATGGCCTCCTATAAATTTTATTTAACAGCTGTTAACATGGATTATCACATTTGATCTTCATAATAACTAAATTTTAAACTGGGTATGGTGGCATGGACCTGTAGTCCCAGCTACTCTGGGGAGACTGATAAGGGAGGATCACTTGAGGCCAGGAGTTTGAATCCAGTCTGGCAACATAGCAAACCCCTATCTCTAAATTAATTAATTAATTTTAAGAAATTAATTAATTTTAATATAAGAAAACGTTCTCAAAAAGTTTAGATATTACCCACATGTTCACATAGCTAATAAGATGAAACATATGAGATAAGCAGTTCCCTGTTTTACAGATACAAACACTGAGACTTAGAAAATCACATATGTTTTACAGATAATAGAACTGAGACTTTGGAAATCACATAATATCCATCTGTATTTGAGGAATTACAAATGATTCCCTTCTAACCATAATACTTTTAGAATGAAAGGATCACATGCACACACTGTTAAGAAGATGAACAAATAATGCTCTCAATTAGATTAACTTTAGTTAGAAACCTATTATGTGCCAGGCACTATGCCCAAGTACAGTAAGATTGAGGCCTTTAACATACTCATAGTGTCCTTAGTTATAAAGTTAAGCAAATAAGAAACCACAATGCAAGGCTGGGTGTGGTAGCTCTCACCTATATCCTAGCACCTGGGAGGCCAAGGCAGGCGGATTGCTCGAGGTCAGGAGTTAAAAACCAGCCTAAGCAAGAGTGAGACCCCAATCTCTACTAAAAATAGAAAGAAATTATTTGACCACTAAAATTATATACAAAAAAAAAATTAGCCAGGCATGGTGGCTCATGCCTGTAGTCCAGCTACTGGAGGCTGAGGCAGTAGGATCGCTTGAGCCCAGGAGATTGAGGTTGCTGTGAGCTAGTCTGACGCCAAGGCACTTTAGCCTGGGCAACAAAGTAGAACTCTGTCTCAAAAAAAAAAAAAAAAAAACAAGCGGGGCGCGGTGGCTCACGTCTGTAATCCTAGCACTCTGAGAGGCTGAGGCGGGCTGATTGTTCGAGGTCAGGAGTTCGAAACCAGCCTGAGCAAGAGCAAGACCCCGTCTCTACTATAAAGAGAAAGAAATTAATTGGCCAACTAATATATATATATAAAAAAAATTAGCCGGGCATGGTGGCACATGCTGTAGTCCCAGCTACTGGGAGCGTGAGGCAGAAGGATTGCTTGAGCCCAGGAGTTTGAGGTTGCTGTGAGCTAGGCTGACGCCACGGCACTCAATCTAGCCTGGTCAACAAGCGAGACTCTGTCTCAAAAAAAAAAAAAAACCACAATGCAAGAGTGTGATAAATGTTACAATACAGTAAACTACAAAATCCTGACCAAAGCAAAAGACTTCAAGAGAGGAGTATAAACAGTTGAGGGGGTTAAGGACTTGCCACAGTTGCTGTCACTTGAGCTGCACCTAGACTGATGAGTGGAATTTTAGCAGTCATTTAAGAATGAATGAATGGGCTTGGCGCGGTGGCTCATGCCTGTAATCCTAGCACTCTGGGAGGCCAAGGCGGGCGGATTGCTCGAGGTCAGGAGTTTGAAAACAGCCTGAGCAAGAGCGAGACCCCGTCTCTACTATAAAGAGAAAGAAATTAATTGGCCAACTAATATATATATAAAAAAAAAAATTAGCCGGGCATGGTGGCGCATGCCTGTAGTCCCAGCTACTCGGGAGGCTGAGGCAGCAGGATTGCTTAAGCCCAGGAGTTAGAGGTTGCTGTGAGCTAGGCTGATGCCAGGGCACTCACTCTAGCCGGAGCAACAAAGCAAGACTCTGTCTCAAAAAAAAAAAAAAAATGAATGAATAAAAAACATCACGAACTGGGCCCTTCTTGGCTCCTTAGTAATCATCCCATGGTCTTTAAGACATGAGTAAGTGTATATGAATAAATCACCTTCTTGGAATTAACAATTTGAACTGGGATAAAGGAAGTTAGATACTAATCTCATGTTTTAAATTTCCTTCAAATGCACTTTATCAGTCTTTGTCCTGCTTTACCTTTTACTGTCTCCTCCACCACACACACACACCCACACACACCGCATGAAATCAGAGAATAGCTACATACTGTTTGGTCTGGGAACTTAATTTGATGTCCCAAAGGAGCAGCACCAAATCCTGAGGTCCATTCTTATATAAAACTAGATGTGGAAGATATATTAAGATGCTTCGATGAACCTTTATTTCCTTTAATAAAAACATGAGAACTCTGAGTATATGGATGAATCGTTTCTTCCTTCTATCATTCTTAAAAGAGAAAGAGAAATCCCAGTGCAGTACTTCCCAAATGGGAGCAGTAGGTGTCCATCTGTCAGGCTATATTAAACCAAAAAAAGACTTTTCATTCAAAATAGTTTCTCCTGTTGGTGCTTCTCCTTGTGAAATATTTACAGGAAACATACATTTAAATTGGAATTAAAGCAGAAACAGACCAGGCCCGGTGGCTCACACCTGTACTCCTAGCACTCTGGGAGGCCAAGATGGGAGGATGGCTCAAGGTCAGGAGATTGAAACCAGCCTGACCAAGAGCAAGACTCCATCTCTACTAAAAATAGAAAGAAATTAATTGGCCAACTAAAAATATATAGAAAAACTTAGCCAGGAATGGTGGCACATGCCTGTAGTCCCAGCTACTTGAGAGGCTGAGGCAGAAGGATCGCTTGAGCCCAGGAGTTTGAGGTTGCTGTGAGCTAGGCTGATGCCACAGCACTCACTCTAGCCTGGGAACAAAGCAAGACTCTGTCTCAAAAAAAAAAAAAAAAAAATCTCTGGTAATGGGGGGCCCAGGAATCTGCATGTTAAAGATCAAACCAGGTGATTCCCCTGCACAACAAAGTTTGCAGGAATTGACCCCGTGACGTTGGCGTTTTAAGTACACCATGCCTCAGTATCCCCCTTTCGCACCAGAAAACAAAATTTACTCGATATTTTGTAAATTAGTACTTGATTACTGGTTGCCAGTATTCAGAGACATGGCCGCTGACAGGTGACTGGGGGCTTCCTTTAAGTCCCTTCATTCCTGATGAATTCTATATTCAGAGAGGAAGGGATTTCGGGAACTCAAAGACTAAGTATAAATCTTCGGATCCCAGAGATTACGCATAACTCCTTAACATCAGGTTTCAGGGCGCATTCGGTTAATAATGTCTCAGGCCAGCCGCCGTAGTCCGTCTGGTGATGCAAGCAGCGTACTTTCTAGTCGCTGTCACCCGATTGCCAAGATGGCGGCCCCCAAGAGCTACGCTGTATGGAGCCACTGCGGCCGTGGATGGTCGCGGGCGATGCGGGGCTGCCAGCTTCCTGGGCTTCGTAGCTCCTGGCCCCGGGACCCACTGGGTGTGCGGCTCTTGTCCCAAGAGAAACCGACAACGGAAACGCACTTCGGGTTTGAGACTGTGTTGGAGGAAGAGAAGAAGGGCAAAGGTGAAAAGGGCGAGAGGGCGGAGGGAGGGATCTGACTGTCGCGATCTAGTTTCTTCTGCCCAATTGAGGATTGATTTAACATCCAGTTAGCTCTGATGCTGTTCTCTCTGCAATCTTGAGGTCCAAGGAGTCCCACTTGCCTGACCCAGCAGAGCTTATACGGCCCCTCTTTTTAAACAGAGTAATCATCCCGCCAATTGAGCGTTTATGACGTGTCATACGTCGTACAGACATTATTTCCAATTCTCACTTTAACTTTCCGGTGGTGGATATTGTTATCCCCGTATCACACGTGAGGAAATTGAGACTTAAAAGTTAAGCAAGAACTTGCCCAGTTTAACATAGCTATTACATGGCGGAACAAGTATTCCATCCCAGTTTAGCCTGACTCCAAAGCCATGTTCTTAATCTCTTGGTAAAAAGAGAGGTTATTTTTGATAGAAAGAAACAAGGAAACTGTCTTCTCTGTGCCTCAACTTCCAAATTTGCCAAATAGGAATAATAGTAACCTTTCTCCTAGAGTTCTTGTGAGGATTAGATTACTTTATGCATGAAAGCACTTTGAACAGTGCATAGCACTTAGTAACTGCTCAATAAATGTTAGATATTGTCAGCACTGTGCCACAGACATGGGAAAGGAAAAGTACTGTTTTTAACTCCTGTATCATTTATAATACGGTATTATACCCATTTTACAGATAGATAAGGTGAGGCTCTGAGAGGTTCCTTTACTGGGTTCACCCACGAAATAAGAGAAAGAATCCATGGTGAAATTTTCCATCCCTTTAGAGACTACCTTGGGTATTTCCTCCGTATTTCCCTTTAGAGACTACCTTGGGTATTTCCTCAGTGCCTGATGCACATTAGGAGTTTGGTAACTGTTTATGGAGTGAAATAAGTGGAGCCAAGTACGATAAAAGCAAGCATTTATTGAGGGTCTGAAACTTTTTTAAATACTTCACATTAATTCTTTTTTTTTTTTTTTTTTTGAGACAGAGTCTCACTTTGTTGCCCAGGCTAGAGTGAGTGCCGTGGTGTCAGCCTAGCTCACAGCAACCTCAAACTCCTGGGATTTGCTCAAGCAATCCTCCTGCTTCAGCCTCCCAAGTAGCTGGGACTACAGGCATGCGCCACCATGCCCGGCTAATTTTTTCTATATATGTATTAGTTGGCCAATTAATTTCTTTCTATTATAGTAGAGATGGGGTCTCGCTCTGCTCAGGCTGGTTCGCACTCCTGACCTCGAGCAATCGCCCACCTCAGCCTCCCAGAGTGCTAGGATTACAGGTGTGAGCACCACGCCTGCAACATTAATTCTTATGAATATAACCTGTGGTGGTAGGAACTATTAGCCTGGTTTTATAAAAAAAAACAAAACTGTGAAACAAATATGTCACTTGCCCAAGATTCTGCTAATAAATGGCAGAGCTGAGATTTGAAATCAGGTGGGTTGCCCCAAAGCATGTACTCTTACCCAGTATTTAATAACAATAATAATGCCTAACTTCTGCATTGTCTTAACAATGTGTAATCAACATTTCACACAATGAACAAGCAGGGAGGAGTTACCAACTGAGCTAATATGATTCCAGATTGTGAACTGAGATTGCAGTACAGGCAGTCCTTGCTTTGCACAGTAATGCAAACTGTAGAAATGACCATGAAAGCTGAAATCATGCACAATGATCTTAATAATCAATAGAAAAAAATTATAGTTCCATGACCTTTAAAAGTAATTAACCATCAAAATTCTCTACAGTTATAAATTTAAGGAATGTGAAAAAAATTTATACTAAAGCTAATATTTATTACATTGTCATTTTAAATATATTTGATTTAATTAATGTAATTAACATTTTAAGATTTTAAAATTTAAGCTTAATTTTTAAATTAAACAATTTATAAAATCAGAAACATTGAGAATTAAATTGTTTTATTCTTTGTTGAAAATTTACCAAGAGTAGTTTACACTGCTACCTCTTGTTATAGAAGTTACAACAGGGAGTGAGCATCTTTTCTATGCCTTGGCAATTGCCATACTCCTTTCTAAGTTTTATCAACTTCTAACTTATCCTTTGCATTTTCAATGTCATGAAATATCTCTGAGAATTTCTTTTTCTTTTTTTTGAGACAGAGTCTCGCTTTGTTGCCCAGGCTAGAGTGAGTGCCATGGCTCAGCCTAGCTCACAGCAACCTCAAACTCCTGGGCTCAAGCAATCCTCCTGCTTCAGCCTCCAAGTAGCTGGGACTACAGGCATGCTCCACCATGCCCGCTAATTTTTTCTATACATATTAGTTGGTCAATTAATTTCTTTCTATTTATAGTAGAGACGGGTCTCGCTCTTGCTCAGCTGGTTTTGAACTCCTGATTCGAGCAATCTGCCCACCTCAGCCTCAACCAAAAAA